CGCCACCCCAAGAGACCTTCTCAGCACTTCAAATTGTTGTTCTGGCTCAACTTTTCTACCGATTTCTTCTAGAAAATACATTAAAATGCAGCCCAAATTAAAATCAGGTATAATTACCAGTTTGTGAGTTATTGCCCAAAGCCAACAAGATTATCAGAATTTTAGGCCACCTAATCTTAGCGCGGGACTCCCTGGGGGCACAGATGGTTACACATTCAGCCACTAACCAAAAAGCTGGAGGTTCGAATCCATCCGGGGTACCTCGGAGGAACAACCTGGTGATTCTCCTCTGAAACACCAGCCCTTGGGAGGCCTGCGAGCTGGACACACATGGGATCATGTGGGTGGAACTGGCAACTGTGTTTGTTTTGTTTTGTTTTACTCTTTCTCCAGTCTTCTAAAATAAAAGGCGATTAGGCCTAATTGACAAAGAGCCCAAGGTCCTGCATTTTCTGAACAGCCTACAGGGAACTAATGACGTGTCATAAGAAGCCACTTGCAGACTTAAGACATGGGAGGCGTGGGAGGCCGGCACGGAGGAAGCGGAGCAGGCACTTCAAGCAGGTGCCACACTGATGGCGGACCGGGCTTGGCCGGGTGGCGTGCGCCCCGAGGGCGCGGCGGCTGTGCTCCCTGCGGCTTCCGCAGCGCCTCCCAACGTGTGGGGAGCGAGGGCCGCCAGGAATGTGCAGCGGCCGCCGAGCCGTGGTCCCCGCGAACGGGCTGGAACGGCCCTTGCACGGCCCCCACGCAGGGCCAGGACTGCGCCCCGGCGGCCGTCCCAGGGCGCACGGACGGCGGAGACCCCCCAGCTCCGGCCCTCCCGCGGCTCAGGCGCCTGGCGCCGCGTCTCCTCGCACTGGCGCCGCACCTGGGAAAGACCGAGGATAGATGCCTCACCTGTGATGGAGGAGGACGTGAGGCAGGCCCGGAGCGGGAGGTGTGGGCGGAACCGGTTCAGGGAGAACCACGAGGTGGGGGCGGGACTTCCCCGTGTCCACGTGTCAACAAAGAGGGTGCAAGCAGAGGTGTCCAGGGACGCATCCGAAGGTGGCCTAGGAGCTCACGCTGCCTGGCGCGTCCGTGTTGAGGCAGCGAGAGGCGGCTCGAGGGTCCGGCGCCCGAAAGGGCCCGTTCATCACAGGCACCGGGCCTGGCTTGTGCTCTCCACGCGTGTCCATATGAAGCCACAGGGCTCGGCGGTTTGGATGCCCCGAGCCCCTCTGCCTGCGTGGGAGCTACACGGAGCGGCAGCAGCTGTCTTGGGGCTGGAGACATGGCTAAGGAGAAGGCATCCATCTTCTTTGAAAGTCACTGACAAACACGCCTCCCCGGCAGCCAGACTTCAAAAACACACTTCTGGCTCTCCCTCGGCCTGGCTGCTGGCCAAAAGGCAGGTGTCTCCTTCCAGCTTTGTTCAATGACCCAGAGCAGGCGCTGCAAAGGCCACCATATTAATTACACAGCAAGGAAAACAAGCTACCCGGGGGCAGACAGACCCTTGGCAAACTCGAGACACCCCCTGCCCTTCTCCAGATATTTGTCTGTTACGTGGTGCCCCCGCAGCCCTTTCAGAAAATTGTACTTAAGTTGACAGAATCTTTGCAAGGTAAGTTGCCATCAGCATCCACACTTGGTTTTAAAGTAGAATAAGCCTACACGTGGACTCAGAGATGTCGATTAAAATGACGGCATGCAGGAGAGAGGAACTGCCTGTCCACGGGCAGAGGCTGCTGCTGTGGGAGCTCTGCCAGGTCCAGTCTGTCCTTCTGGGCGTGGCCTCTGGCTTCCAGCATCCGAACAGCACCTGGGAAAGACCAAGGATGGATAAGAACGCACGCTGCATCCTGAGGCACGCGTCCAGTCTACTTCCGAGAAACTAGCTACATCAGCTCACGCATGGTTACTACTTCCATGTGTGTCTAGGAATTGAAGCAAGACACCCGCAGGCAAAACAGAAAAAGGAAAGGGGAGGTGATGGGACAGGACATTGCACCCCCCCCCCGGAGTCTCATGCAAGTTCGAAAGCAACCAGAGGCACCTCTTTGCACAGTTGGCTGGATCCAGATCCCAGACATGGTTCTGCCTCGTGCAACAGCGATGTGAGTTCCAGAAATCACAGGAGGTATCAGTGTCGGGTTAAACTGCTCTGCTGCAGAATTGTGGTAAAGTGCGAACAGTGTGCAGTGCCAGATACCTCCTGTGCTTTAAAACACTCACAGATACACTCACACACACACACATGTTCACGTGCAGTCAGGCACACTCACACACATACTCATATGCAGTCACACACGCTCATATGCACACTCTCACACACACACATGTGCACGCATGCTCACATGCACAGTCACACACACTCACTCACACACACACATGCACACACACCCTCACACATAGCTTTTTCCCGGCCGAGAGACATGCAAGCTCAGGATCACACAGCCTTTGTAGCAAGTTTCTCCGGTTGTGTCCAGAGAATCACTTGTATCCTTGCAAATGTAAACACGCTTTGTGGAAGGAATCTAGTTACTGAAGATAAATCGACAAGCTAGAGAAGTAAACTGCCAAAGGTTCAGAGTTGCGTTTTTTAATCTAAAACTTGGTATTTCATTTGAAGTCTTGATTTGACAAAAGTGTACATTATTCAAAATCCTTTAAAAAGAAAAACTTCTTATGTTTGTCTCCCTCTAAAAGATACCAAAGTCTTGCAGTCTGAGAATTTCTTTTCTAATACAGCATAATATTCACAGTCATGCGGTTTTCTCCTTGTAAACACAAGTAAATATGAGGTTGTCATGACACCTACATCGGAATCTCCAGAGGTGGTAGTTTTATCCTTAAATTAATGTCTCCAGAGGGAATGATATTTGAGAAAATGTGCATTCAAAAATTATCACAAATTTAGTGCAGAAACCTTAAGTTTGCTTGAGAAGTGCTATCACCAGGTACGCTCACTCACAAGTTAGTTTCCTTCAAACTTCAGTTGAACCAAAGGTGTGGGCCGTTGCCCTCAAGTCCCTTCTGACATGTGATGGCCAAGTGTTACCGAGTAGGACAGCTCCGTCTGGTTTTCCTGCCTGTAGGCCGTACAGAAGCAGATCGCAGCCCTTTCTCCTGCAGAGTCAGTGGATGGCTTCGAACCGCCGACCTTTCAGCCAGCAGCAGAGCACACACCACGTGCTTCACCAGGGACCCCATCAAATGATTTCTATGATTTAGTCCTATGGCATGACCATTACTTCCTGGATCTGACCAGTCTTTGGTGCCACAGAAATTACCATCTAGATGTCATTTCTCCAGAAATTCCTTCTCTTGGGTAGGTTCCATTCACAGCATAGCTAATACCCTGGCAAAGTGCCTATCAAACCTTAGTGCCCACTTCATATATTTACGGCTTCCACAACATGACCCATTGCACTTGGCACATTTCCTGATTTTGCTCAGTTAGCCCTGGGAAGCCTAAGTTCACAGGGCAGTCATTGCCAAGGCTGGAGTCGTTGCCTCCGTGCTTGGTTTGCCTGAATGCCACTCTTGGTCACACGCTGAAGCAGCCGAGCCTCAGAAGTCCTGCTTGCTATTTACTGCAGGGAGCAACTCCAACCTGTGCACGTCAGTCTCATTTCTACCTAAGAGCTGAAGTCTGTATTAAATAGCCAAAAAAAATTTTAAAAAAAAATTTCAGGTAAATCTTGCATTCTGTGCTCCATGATTATATATTAGATCATATAATTTTAAATATTACCTCCTTTCTTAAAATGTAAGAACCAAAGCATAGTTGTTGTTGTTGTTGTTGTTGTTTCCTAAAGAAATTTGCTACAAAATGTAGATCACAAATACCCTTGACCATATTATAAGGCTGCTACTTACTCTATAAAGACTCAAACCAGGGCTTCAAACCAGCTCAGTCATGGTTGGTGGAGCAGAACAGGGATGGAATGGGGTCTGCAAAGTGTGGGTGCCTGGACCCGTAACCAGAATGGGGAAAGTTACAGGTCAACTCCCTGCTGGAAATGCCATCTGCCCTTCGAGAGCAAGGGCAGCATGCTCATCATGTGTTCAGGAGACTCTGAAGCCCGGAATTGAATCTGTCTATGGAATTCTAGGAGCTCTGGTACCTTAGTGCCTAAGGCACTTGACTGCTAACCAGAAGGCTGGTGGTTCAAACCCACCAGCCACTCCTAGGAAGGAAGATGAGGCAATCTACTTCCGTAGTGATACTGCCTCGGAAACTCAAGGAGGGGTCACTGTGAGTCGGGTCCGACTCGATGGCACATAACACAACAACAACATGTAATTCTAGTCAACTTTCTTTTCTTAAGAAGTATAAAACTAGATTTCATTTTTTGTTTTTGAAATACAATTTAGAAATAAAATTTTAGTCAATTTCCCTTAAAAATAATCTTCACCATATCTCTTGATCCACAGAGTCAGAAACAACGGTGCCCAGCTTAAAGACAGAGGCCAACCACACGACTCTGAATGTCTGTCACTCTCTACAGTTCTGGCAGTAATGCAATCTTCTTAATCAGGCTCCTGAAATAACTCACTCTGCCTCTTCCAAAACTCCCATTCCAGGGCTTTGACCCATAATTTTTCCTGTTCTGGTTATCATTCAAGGCACCCATATTTTGCAAATTCCAATCCATCTCAGTTTCACTTTGTTAGCTATGGCTGAGCCAGTTCAAAATACTTTGACACCCTGAATTGAATCTATCTATGGAATTCTAGTCAACTTTTCTTAAGAGGGATAAAACTAGATTTCATTTTTTTGTTTTTGAAATAAAATTTAACTCAATTTCCCTTAAAAATAGTCTTGACTAGACTTAGGAATTTCCTACATGGACTGAAGTTCTTTTTAACACAAGCAGAATTTAAGTAAAATAATATGAATTGCTGTTAGGATAACAAGTTGCAGCCTTCCTTAACATCTCACTGTATTTTTTTTTTTTTAATGTATCTGGTTCACACATGGATACTCAGCAGTAGAACTATATCTTTTTTCACACATGAGTGCAGTTAGTGGATGGTGGGGTGTCGATGCGACTCTTCTCCTTCATGTCGTGGCGAGGTGATTCAGTGTGACGGGGACACTTGAACACTTGCTTATAGGCCTTCCTGAAATTCTCAGAGAGAAACGCATAGATGATGGGGTTCACAGAGGAGTTGCTGTAGGCCAGGCAGTGTGCTGTGATTCTGAAGAGGAATGAGGCAGGGGTCAGCGGGAAGACTCCAAATTCAACCCAGAGATGGATGATATGGTGCGGCAGCCAGGATATCCCAAACACCACGACCACCACCAGCACCGTCTGCGCAGTCTAGTGAGAAGAAAAGGAACATGTGTCCATTACAACAGAGAGAGCACCCGGTATTGTCCATACATGCCCTAAAATAATTTCTCATTTTCATTGGACCAAATCTACTTTAAGTGCTAACCTTTACTCCATTTCTTATTTCTGTTCAAAATTTCAAGTCCTGCCATCAACATCCCTGGTAATCATTTTGTAATGCATGTAAAATATGTGTGAATCATGAAGTTGCTGGGCAATGCAAATGGTTTACATTCTCCACTGCTCACTGAAAGGTTGGAGGTTCAATTCCAACCAGAGGCACCTTGAAAGAAAGGCCTGGTGCTCTACTTCTGACAAATCGGCCACTGCAGGCCCTGTGAAGCAGAGCCCTACCTTAACACATGGGGCACCATGAGCTGGAGCTGACATTGTGGCAACTGGGTCCAGTCGAGATGAAGTGCTGTAACCATGAAGCCAATCAAAACTCTTCATGCAGCGCGGTGGGTGTGTGAACAGGGGTGGGGCTCTGATGAGCACCAGGCCCCAAACAGGCACCTCACACCCAGGCAGGTCCATGTTTATTTCTCCTCTGTTGAGTACCATCAAGTCAATTCCAACTGTTAGAAACCCCATCTGACAGCGTCAACTGCTGCACAGGGCTTTCTAGATGGTAATCTTTTCGGGAGATCACCAGCTCTTTTTCCCATGGAGCCACAGTGGGTTGCAGTCACTGGCCTTTCGGAGACCCAGGGCTCCTTTCTCTGCTTTGTTGTTTTTGTGGTTAGGTGCCATTGAGTTGGTTCCAACTCACAGTGACCTCATGTGCAACAGAACAAAACAGTGCCTGGTCCTACAGCATGCTCACAAACACCACCACACTTGAGCCCATCGCTCCAGCCACTGTATCAACCATCCCCACCAAAGGTCCCCTTCCTTTATGCTGACTTTCCAGTTTTCCAAGCATGATGTCCTTCTCCAGAGACTGGTGACCCCGGACAACATGTCCAAAGTGTGTGAGACAAAGTCCCACCATCCTTGCCTTCAAGGAGCATTTTGGCTATACTTCCTCCAAGACAGGGTTTCTGGTTCTTCTGGGAGTCAATGGTATATTGAATATTCTTTCCCAACACAATTCAAAGGCGTCAATTCTGCTTCTGTCACTCTTACTCACTTCCAGCTTTCACACGCAGATGAGGAGACCAGCCATGCACATGACCGATGGCCTGGGCAGGAGCACCCCAACCTCAAAGTGACATCCTCACTTTAAACACCTTAAAGAATGATTTTGCAGCAGGTTTGCTCAACCCAAATGTCATCTGATCTTCTGATTGTTGCTTCCACGGCCGTTGATCATGGATCCAAGTAAATGAAATCCTTGACAACTTAGACTTGGGTAAATTAAGGCCAGTATACACTGCTAGCCTGAGTCAGAATCAACTCAATGACAGTGGGTTTGGTTTGGGTTGACACCGATGCAATGATGTGTTCCTGAAGTCACTCCAGTTTAGTTCTGCAGACTAATTAGCCCTGATCCCTTACTTTCACCTCAGCCCTTCCCTTGCTGCCCTTAAATCAGAAATACACAGGAGCAGGGGCAGATTCATATCTTTCCTTTGTGATCCCCACTGGACAGGCCATAGAGGGGCATCTTTCCTCATTAAGGACCTCAACACAAGAGGCACACACACACACATATACACACACACAGCCCTTGGGTGCTGTTTCGTCCCCTGGTTTCTCCATCACACTGTGTGTTGTGTGAATACAGATCACCTCCTCAACTGGCCACGAGCCTGAAGGGCTGGGGTGAAGCCTCACAGTGACCTCTCTCACCCAGCTTCCAGCCTGTTCAATACAAAAGCCACCAGTAGATAACTAACTAGGAGACAAACCGAAGACTCTGTCTCCATGGATCTAGATAAACAGTGGTCTACTTTATTGAAATGCCTTTGTGGATGGAGTCTAATAGTTTCTAAACTATGAATACAAAACACTCAAGAAGCTCCTTCCATGAGATCATTCTCCTTCCACAAGATTAGTTCACGAGCCAAGCAAGGCCCACTCTTGGTGGCTAGGCAGAGCCCATGCTGTATGCATGGCCCTTCAAATTGCATTGATCCATCGCTGACCTTCTGGGTTATGTCATGAAGCCCCCTCAAAACACAGTGGAGCTGATGCTACAATGATCCATGGCAAAAAAATGCGAAAACTGAGCCTTTGAAGGCTCAAGGCAAGTGCCCAATGCCCCACAGCTGAACTGCAAAGTGTTGTGGACGGAATTGTGTCCCCAAAACATGGGTTGAAATCCTGTACCTGTAGATAAGGAGCCCTGGTGGCAAACTGGTTAAGTACTCAGCTGCTAACAAAAAAGTTAGTGATTCAGTCCCACCCAGTGACTCTGTGGGAGAGCCCTGGTGATCGGCGTCTGTGCAGATTATAGCCTAGAAAGCCCTGTAGGGTGGTTTTGCTTTCTGAAATGAGCTCTCCTTGAGTGGAAAATCGACTCAATGGCACCCAGCACGACATACCAGTGGGTGTGATCCTGCTAGGAACTGGGGTTTTCTTTGTTACGGTGATGAAGCCATAGCTGTGTAGGATGTACCCTAACCCTGCTCACTCCTGAGTTATAAGGAGCAGAGGAGACACAAGAGGAAGTACAAACAGAAATGAAGGGGATGGAGATGCCGCTGGAAAATCCCCAAGGAATGCAAAACAGAGAGAGACAGACGGCGGGGGGGGGGGGGAGAGAATGAGACAGAGAGGACAGAGACAGAGAGAAGGAGACAGAGAGAGACAGGGAGACAGAGAAAGAGACATGGAGAAAGAGGCAGACAGAGAGAAAGAGAGAGAGGGAGAAAGAGGCAGGAAGGGAGGGAGAGAGACAGGGAGAGAGAGAGGGAGACAGAGAAAGACAGGGAGAGAGAGAGGGAGACAGAGAGAAACAAGGAAGGAGGAAGAGAGGGAGAGAGAAGGAGGGAAGGAGACACAGAGATAGAGAGACAGGGGCAGAGAGACACAGAGAGAGAGGAAGACAGAGAGAGAGAGCATGCCCTCAAGACCCTGAATTTGGCCTCAGCCTCCTGAATTGTGAGAAAATAATTTTCTGTTCATTAAAGCTACCCACTTGAGGCATTTCTGTTACAGCAGCTGTGGCCAACCGAGACATAAGGTTAGCCCTGGAGACCAAGTCTGTGCTCCCAAATCCATGCTCTCAACGTGCAAACACGGGAAGGAACAGTCACGACCCTCCCTGGAGGCCATCCACCACATCACCCTCTGGTCAGGCAGACAGTTGTGGGGCTGAGCGGATAATAAAAGCCCCAGAAGACATTTGTCTCCATTCTCTAACGTAACCTGACCACAAAGCTTTGCCAGTCTTCCCTATTCAGGGCTGATCCAGTGCCCAGTTCACTTTATTAGGGAGTTCAGTACTCATAAGAAGCTCGGGTAGCACGCTGGTTAAGGCACTCTGCTGCTAACCAAAAGGTCAGCAGTTCAAATCCACCAGCCACTTCCACAAAGATTTACAACTTTGGAAACCCAATGGGACAGCCCTACGCTGTCCTATTAGGTCCCTATAGGTCAGAATCGACTAGATGACATTGGGGTTTTCTGGTCAGTTCTCACAGAAAAAAGAAATATTCATGGATGAGCCAAAGCCCAGTTCCCTTTCCCAGGGAGTCCAACCTTCAGAGGAAAGAAAAACACGCAAAGGATTTGTCCTTCCAGCATCTTGCCCAAGGCTAGGAGTCAAGTCCTCTTTTCCTCAGACACAGTCAGGCTGTGATACAAAGAGCCCTACTTTTCCTCAATCAGACTGTGACATAAGGAGCTCCCCCTTTTCCTTAGATGGAGTCAGGCTGTGATATTTTGAAAAGACTGTACTTGGTTATGTGGAGAAGGAAACAATAGTAACATCACTTTCTTCCTCCTCTCCCCACACGTCTCAGGGACCAGAGACCATGAGGCACACATCTTCCCTCTGATCTTAGATCTTGACACTGAGGTGGAAGTGTCATGTGAGAATGACCTGGAGGCTGTCTACTGTTCTCCCTTCTTCACAGGAATATTCCTGTGAGAGTGGATGGAAAAGGAGAGGAACGCTGGGAGGACAAGGAGACAGAAGGGGCAGAGTGAAAGCAACTGTCTTTCTGGTTGTGTGCCATCAAGCTGATTCCAACTCATAGAGACCCTATGTTGTTGTGGTAGTTGGGTGCCATCAAGTCGGCTCCAACTCATAGTGACCATACACAATGCAACAATGCAACACACTGCCATCGAGTAGGATTTGACCCAGAGCAACCCCTCCTGGGGTTTCCAAGACAGTATCACTATGGAAGTAGATTGCCCAACCTTCCTTCCAACAAGTGGCTGGTGGGTCTGAACTGCCAGCCTTCCAGTTAGTAGTCAAATGCCTTAGGCACTATGCCACCAGAGCTTCTATAGTGACCTGAATACAACAGAATGAAACACTGTCTGTTCCTGCACCATCCTAAAAATATTTGCTGCGTTGGAGCCCATCGTCACAGCCACTGTGTCAATCCACTTTGTTGAAGGTCTTCCCCTTTCCCACTGACCCCCTGTTTTATCAACCATGATATCCTTCTTCAGGGAACGATCCCTTCTGACAATATGGCCAACGTATGTGAGAAAAAGTCTGGCCATTATTGCTTCTAAAGGCATTCGATCTCACTGCTCCCAGGACAGATTTGTTAGTTGTTCTGGCAGTCCATGGTACTTTCAGTATTCTTTGTCAACACCAACTCAAACGCATAAACTCTTCTTCAGTCTTCCTTTTTCATTGTCTGTCTTTCACATATGCATGAGGCTATTGAAAACACAATGAATGGCTTGGGTCAGCCATACCTTAGCCTTCAAACAGACTTCTTCTTCTTTTTAACATTTTAAAGAGGTCTTTTGCAGCACATTTACCCAGTTCAATATGTCATCTGATTTTTTGACTGCTGCTTCCATGGGTGTTGATTGTGGATCAAAGTACATGAAATCCCTGGCAATGTCAATCTTTT